TTTTTTATTGCTATTATATAGTACCAACCTCGTTTTTTTATAACTGTTGCCTTTGAAAACAAAAACAGCAACTAGAACGTCCTGCATACACTCATGGTTAATTAAGGTAGAGATGCAGTTTACATGACAGGTATTTTAATTAGTTAATTAGGAAACCAAGATGACCTCCCATGTCCACAAAACTATATATTTTCAGAAAGCTTATTGTATGATTTTTTAAAATTTTGTTAGTATGTTTTTTATGGACACTGTAGTTTGAAATATGCACAAAAATGTGCATTTTGGTCAAAAGTGATTTAAAAAAACACTAGCTTCTAAACCATGCTTCTGTTTCCTGTCAAAATTGATTTATGGGTACATCTGTTTACTATGAAGAAATTGCCGTCTTGAAAACTGTCTACCAGTTGTCAATTTTGCAGGGCAGCAGCTCAAATTTCACTACTTCAAGTTTATGCACAAATTAACACCAAGGCTAGTTGTCTGTACGATTGCTGTAACACTATTTTACCAAAAACAATGCCCGACGGCGTTTTGAAGATAAACACATTGTCAATCATTTGTGAAAATTTTAAAACAAAAGGTGAAAGCGTCTAGGAGCTATTTTTTAAAGTTCTGGGATGTACACTAAAAGAAGCTGACATAATTGCTAATTTGCATAACAATTCACTCAGTAAGAAGTTTGCCAATGCTCATAATTAAAACGGCTGTAACAGTTCCAAATTTAAATGTATTATCGTTTTGTTAAAAGTTAAAGGGGAACTAAATAGAGCCTATTTTGGTGTTTGTATTTATCAAGTTATGTATATTGATTATAAATTTGAAAAAAAAAAATTAAAAAATGATTATCTTCAGAGTTATGATGATTTAAATATGAGAAACCATAAACCTGCGAAGGACTTCCGTTTGCGCCATCTTGCCATAAAAAAACGCCCTCATGTGGTATAAACAGGTAAGGTAACAAAGCATGATGACGAAATAGTATCTGATTAAATATAAGCAACTTAGGGAGCCATAGCTGGCTGGACTG